AGAGAATCCAGCCACATTTTTTTTGTAAAGTAGTGTGTGAAGGATGAGATGACGTGGCTTGAGTTCCCGGATGAGAAGCCTAAGTCTCGGACAATGAGAAGTTTTCACCATATTGAAAGTCAGGATCCGAAGAGTCTTCGGATTCTGAGGAACTTGAAATGCTTATAGTTTCATTTGAAGGACTGGAAGTTGTCCCACTCCTCATCATTGATGCATAGTCCATTGTCCGACTTGGAGATACAACTATTTCCTTGTTGCTTTTATGTTTACTCAATGCTGTTGCTTGCTGCACTCGAGCCTTCATTTCTGCCTTGATGCTAGCAGCAGTATTCTTCCCAGTGCCACTCGCTGATGGAGCATCTTGGCGCTTGTCTTCTTTCTGTTTTAGTTCTTCTTGGCAATATTTCGATTGTAATCCATCCTTAGAAGTAAAGCAACGGACAGCCAACTTGAGATCTTCTCTAGCCCATCTATAGATAGCACTAAATTTCCCTCCCAAAGCTTCAAGAAGAACATTTAACTCACTAATTCCATAACGGAATAGAAAAATCTTCTCACTCCAAGCACAGGAACAGAGTTGCTTTGCATGACGCAAACATGAATATCTGTCAGGAGAACATACACAATGAGCTGCAGACAGGTGTAAATCATAGAAACATATGCTGCATTCACGTTTGCTTGTAGCATCAAAATTTTTGTCCATGCTCCGCGATTGTGTAATATTGCAAAGATAGTTCCTCCTTTTTTCTTCGATTGTGATACGTGACTATGCAAAGAAAAACATGAAGGAACTATTAGAAAATTCTTTCTTGCCAGTTGCTCCAAGTCCAAAATAGAACGCTCCACATGCTAAATGGGAAAACAGAAGCATAATCAAATGAGAACTGAACAAATAAACAAAAAAAAAAACCTGCAAATAGAAGCTCCATGTTCCAAACAATTTTGAGAACTCAAACATACTTACGGAAGGTTGTTGATGAAAAGAAATCAAGGAGCTCACCTTAAGTGCTTTTGCTAAGATGCTATCCTTCCCGCAAGCATCCTTCCATCTTAAATTATTTGACATGTTCTTCCTTAATAGTAATAACTCCCATTGTTCCCTCACAGCTTCCCTAGCCACACCTAGCAACAATTTATCATTGGAAATTGAGGTTTTCTTCCCCTGTACAGAATAGAGCTCAACAGCATTTTGCCCGTGAAACAACCAATCAACGGGAGCAAAATTTACCATCTCAACACAATTAAAACCAGAATCAAACTCTGAATGGTACGCTCCTGGGAAAATAAGAACAAACTCCCCAGGATACTGGATGCAACGATAAACAGGTACACCTTCAGAAGAAAGTTTCTTACCCTGTTTCAAACATCAGTTATTTGTCATATATAACCTAAACAGATATTAGATCTCACATTATGGAGAAGGAGAGCAAAGAATCCTACCCTCCGAAATTTGTTAAGCATTTGATCAAATATTCAATAAAATGTTACAGAATCTAAGAAATATATTAGAGCTTTCTACCATGAAAGTAAAACTGATGCATTTTACGGCTGGGAAAACCTGCTGAAGCATATGGAGTTACAAATAGGAGTTGAATTTAACACATTTATACACTTATCTATTGAAGCTAAAGCAGGGAATCTCCCTAGTGACTGATCTTTTTTTCCCTCCTTTCCTCTAGATGCAAAGCAATAACATTTTGCAAGTATTGAAGATAAAGCAGGGCATGCTAGATCGGTCATTAACTTGATTTTTCTGTAAAATACTTTGCATATTTATATTATTTTATGTTCTTACATCAGCTTATTTTTATACCCTATTTAGGCATGTAGCTGTTGGGCATTTTGACAACCTCCAAGAATATAGTT